CAGCTCTACACCGAGGTCAGCGTTCCGCCGCACACGCCGCTGTCCCTACTCTCCGAGGATCTTTCCGTAAGGCGCAGGTACGCATATTTCAGAATGTCAAACCCTTCCCAGCAAAGGCACCGCTGGCGCAGGATAGGCCAGACCCCATCGAGGTCCAATGGCCGCAGCTTGACTACAGCAGGCGCCTGCACCCCAACGACCTGGACCGACTATGGCAGGAGGCCAACGCCGGTATGGAAGCCGATCTTTGCCACCTGCACCAGATTCCTCGTGACCAAAGATACATGTGCAAGGGCCGTGGCAAGGCCCCCAAGTTCACTACAGTCACAGCAGCTGGACCCGAAGCCCATGCCAGACCTAGAGGGAACCTTACTCCGAGAGCATGGAGGTGGTATGCCAAGATGCTCGGCGACATAGTGCTCCTCTACCGCGGCGCAAACAAAGCGGGGAGGCAGCCACGACGTCCCCATGCCCCACTGGAGGAGCCTGGCCAGGCAGAGCATGCATGGCCGCATCCAATGGAAACACATGCCCAACGCAGGCCTGTACCAGCAAGTCATAGACCTGGCGTTGGTAAGCGACATCGCTCAGAACATGGACTTGCTGACGGAGATACGCGCAGTACATCACTACGCCAGCGCCGAGGCGCACAAGATCGAGCAGCACATCGCTTCGCAGCGAGGCAAATACTGGAAGGAGCGACTCAAGCAGGCCTCCAAGGGTTCGGCAGCGGTTCATTCACCGCATCAGCAAGTGGGCGAAGGCGCCGCCCACACCATACGCTACCACGGCGCAGGTCAACGCGGGCATACGTAACCTCGACCTGGCAGACCTGCAGACGCGGACGGAGCAACATGCAGCAGTATGGCGTCGCCTATGGATGTCCCATCGTGGGGCCAGCCGAAGCGAACCGCCCCGCCCACGGGACAACTGCACCGACGACCGCCCGCTGATCCACGTTCCCCCCGAGGCCTTCAAGAGAGTCTGCAGAACCTTCAGGGCGACTACGGGAGTAGGGGCGGACCAAATACATCCCTGGTGGCTGTGTGAGCTGTCCGACAAGGGCACGCAGTTCATGTGCAACCTGGTCATGTGCATCAGCCAACACATCAGTTGGCCGACCAGCGTGCAGCACGTCCTCTACTTCCTCCTAGAAAGAACGCTACTGATACTAGGCCTATTGGGCTCATGACCACCATCATGCGGATCACCGAGAGACTGCATGCGGACATCTACATTCAATGGACAGCAAAGGTTTCGCGGGACTACGAGTGGGCAGCAGGGGGGGGAGCAGAGAACGCCATGTGGACCCTGGCCCTAGCTGAGGAAGGCCGACCAGACAATGTTGTGTCCCTCAGCGCCGTGTCCGACTTGGAGAAGGCCTTCGATCATATCAGCGCCTACCTCCTGTGGGACACCAGCCCCGATCTCGATTTCCCGCGGCAGATGGTACACCTTTTCATATCGATGTGCACTGGGCCCAGATGGGTCATCTACCAGCGGATCGTGTCCAAAGTCTGCGCTGTCACCTACTCGGCCGTTATTGCGGGCTCCTGTGGTGGCACCAGGGCATTGAAGATGGCCATCATTCCAGTATGCGACGAGATCCGCTTACAATGGCCACGAGTGCGGCAGGTTTTATACGTGGACGGCCACCAGATGCAGCGAGATGGAGGAGGCCAAGAAGTACGTGAAGACACCTACGCTAGCACCCAGTACTACATCAACCAGGTCGGAGGGAACGTCGGCACACCCATCTCGCGCAACCGCGGGACCAAGCCAGGCAAGAGCCACTTCATCACAGCCGACAAGGAGCTGCGCCACACCTGCAGGGTCATGGCCAACTACTTCGGCTACCAAGTCAAGGCCACGGGGCAGCAGCTCGGAGTGGACACCGCGGTGGGGGTGGGGTATCACGGCGGAAGGCTGGCTCGAGAATCCGCAAGGCCTGGGGCAGGAAGAGGAGGCTGCTCAGCCTAAAGGCCAGCGGGGCCACCACCAAGGCAGTGGTCAAGAATGGCCTGCTCCCCAGCATGTGCTACGCCTCGGCCAGTGTCGGGCCCCCCACCACGATCCTCAACACGGCCCGCATCCTCATGTCCAGCGGCCCCGGCGGCGAGCCCATGGGCAAGGACAGGGCCTTGCGGCTCTGGCTTCGCTCTGCCGACCCGATAGCGCAGGCCACCTTCACCCCGATGGGCAAGTGGGCCACGGCCATCTGGGACTCAGGAGCCGACTACGCCAAGCTCGAAGCAGGATGGCGAAGGGCAGTGCGCTTAGCAGCAGCCAGGCAGGCCCCCCCACCGCAAGTTCGACTGGACGCAGGTGAGGGGCCCTGCCACCGCGCTCCTCGGATCCCTGGACGGGCTTGGATGGACCTGGCCAGCCCCTCACATCATCATGACGCATCACCAGGAGCAGCTGAACATGATGATCGCACCGCCCTCCACGATCAAGGCGCTCGCGCTAGCCAGGCTCGAGCAGGTCGCCATGGAGGATGGGCCGAGAAGCATGAGCTACCTGGAGTTGCACGACCTTTTCTGGAACCAGCACGCGCCCTCCTCCGCCAGAAGGCTCAGCGCTTCTGCCCGAGGCGAAGAGGCGCAATCGAGAGCTACCTGTGCGCCGCCTTCTGCGCACAAGATGTACGATGGCGAAGAGGAGAGACATACATACGAGATTGTCAAGCATGCGGCAGTGAGATCGGCACCCATCAGCACAGGTTCTGCAGGTGCAGTGCGCTCGACCAGCAGCGCAGAGATATTGCTGAAGATAACGCTGAAATCATGCACAGGGCCACCAGGGGCACTGAGGGAACGCCACTTTTTGCCCGAGGCATTGTAGACCATCCTGTGGCGGATCCCACCTCCGATTTCCAGTTCGAGCGAATTCAAACCCGAACAGGAGAGCCAGGCCTGTACAGTGGCTTCGCCTTCTGCGACAGATCGGGAGTAGGGCATCCAGGATGCAAGAGTTTCGGTTGGGGTTTCTCGTTCGTGAGAGAGTCGCCGTTCGTCGTCGTATTCTCGCAATGTGGATGCCCTGCTGGCGTGCGAGCAACCCTCTCTGTCCTGCGGTGTGAGCTGTCAGGCTTCGCACATATGTTGCAGTTCGCCACTCCCCCGCTCACCATGGGGATTGATAACGATACTTTGTTTCGAGGCCTCAGGAGAGGCCGAGCCAGGTGCACCAAAGGAGTTCGCTCGCATGCAGATGTTTGGGCTCAGATTTGGAACGTGCTGGATGATAGTTGTCCTGGCCTAGCAGGGCTCACTATGGTCAAAATGAGGGCCCACTCCTCGCAGCACTGGAGTTCGGATGACCCCAGGGTGAGCTTCCTCGCCCGAGGGAATACAGAGGCGGACGCAACGGCCCGAGAAGGGGCCGACCCCGCCCCCTCGACCTGTAGGCACTAGCACGGCGTATGAGCAAATATATACGGACGTTCAAGCAGTTTTGAGTTTTGTGGCCGACCTTACAGTCAGGGCGGGGTCTTTTGCCGACACTACCCCGACCCCCCCCCCTGCCAGAAGGAGAGGGAGAGGAGGAGGAGGAGTGCTGGCCCCCAGGAGAAGGCCCCGCGCTGCCCTGCAGAGACCCCACCTGGTTAGTTTCTCAGGGCCTGCCGTCTCTTGCCTCCGATGCGGACGCAAAGCCACCGCGAGGAAGGAGCGCGCACAATTCAGATTCCAAGAGTGCCTGGGCCGCGCGGTCTGTAGGAGGCCAGGAGGCCATGTTCCCCCTTCCTCCTCCTCCGACCTCCTCCTCCACCACAGGTGATAGGAACCTGTTCCGAGGTCATGCGCTCTGGAAGACAGGGCCGTTTGTTTTCTGTTATAACTGCGGGAGTTTCTCGTCGTTCACGTTGCGGGGTCTTGCCGGAATCTGTAAGTTCACACCTGCAGATAAGAATGCTAAGACCCGTCGGAACCGCCTACGACAGGGCAGGCACCCCAGGGATAGTGAGCACGTTGCAGATCCGAGAGAGCTTAGCACGGAGGAAGTCCAGAGGTTCGAGGCCGACCTGGGGCCCCCCGTGCCCGCTCCCGATGCTGCTGCTGCTCCTCCCCTGATCTAGTCATCGTCTCCTCGGGCTGCGTGCGCCTGCCGCTGCTGACCCGCCTCACCGCCCATTCCGCCCGTTCCTCCTCCTCCTCCTCCTCCACGGGATCGCGCGCCAGAATCCAGACCCCCAATATCTGACGTTTCGTTTTTTTTTCATACGGGCGGGTCGAGGTATAAGATCGAGGTCGGTTCGGGGAGGGTGCCCTCATGGTCTCTGTGCTTGTTGGGTGTTCTTGTGTCTCCTGGGGGAGAGCACCCTCGAATGTTCTTCAGCTTGGCTGGCGAAGGGTCCCATGTTCTTGAAGGATGCTCTTCTGTCTTATGTCCGACCGTACATACGGGACCCCCAGATGTCCAGAAACCATTTCCCTTGCGCTGGCTGCTCATCCCGAGCTCTTCCTGTTGACGGTCCCAGGGCCTCCCGAGGGCCCCTGGAGACCCCAAAATTGCCGCAAACCTCCCGTCACGATTTAATCACGGCTAGGATTCAGTTCTTGGCGGGTCACATTCTGAATCGGCGCTGGTATACACCTGATCGAAGACTTGCCGAATGCGGCCGAATCCCGTTGAATTCGGCATACGAGCCCACGCAATCCGGTGTAATCCAGGACTAATCCGGCCTAGTCTGGCTCAACGGCCTTGCATTCGCGCATGCCCCGCCATCTTTCTGACGCAGACCTTCCAGGGGTTGCTTCCTAATGTTGGGTAGCGCGTCGCTCCGCTGGATCTGGCCCGCCACGCTTCGGTGCGACACACCATGATCCACTCTCCCACTCCCAATCGTCCACGTCCCGAGCCTCGCCGAGCCTCCCGCCCCGCGGAGCGGAGCGGCACGCCATCCGCTTGCGAGGCATCGCCTGTCGCAGGCTCCGCCGCGTTGGCACGCTGTGCAGAAGTTCCGGGCCGTATGTTCGCCGGTCGTCTCTGCACGCCTCAGGCGCGGCTCGAGCGGTGCTTGAGCCAAGCGGCTGTAGACCAAAAGGTTCGACGGTCGTGACCGCTCGCGTCCAGGGCCGGCTCCTGCAGGGGGGGGCACGCGCCGGCGGCGGCCGCCTCCGCATCCCAGCCGCGGGGGGGGGCGGGGGAGCGGGCGGGGGCTGCGATGGCCGAGAGCGCGGCCGCCGCGGCGGTGGACCTCGGCCACGCGCTGGACTTTGAG